GGCAGTCACAGGCAGCTGGCACATAGCTGATCCCAAGATGCCAAAACGGTCCTATTTCAAAGGCTTCCACAGCTCCTGTGAACCTGTTTAGTGTTTCATTTGCAGCAACAGAAAGCTCCTCCTGGATTCTAACTTGCACCATTCATGCTTCACCCAAGCCCACTTAATTAAAGTTGTGGTGTTATGGCCAAAGGACACTTTTGGTTGCATCAAAAAATACATTCAAACATGCACTAAGCATGTGGTCAGCTTCAGGGAGAAACTAGCCCATCCAGGTACGGTTTGGATAAAGTTTAAAGCTGCAGTTGCCAGAAAATACTCACAACACAAATCCCAGGGCAGTTGGGCAGCTGCCAGCACAAAGCGAAGCTGAGAAGAGCAAGGACGGAAGACGAGAGGAAGGAGGAGGCAGCCAGGGGCAAAAGAAGAATGAAGATAGGGAGAGCGGAGTGGGTGAGAGCGTGTGGGAGTGCGGATGGAAAACAAGAGGAGGAGACACAGACAGAGCGAGACCACGCCGGGAAATTGTCGGTGGGAGCTCTGGCAGGCAGTGGCAACCCTAGAATTATGCCGGTGGGTGGCTGCGTGGTGAAAGTAAAACAAAAATCAGAACGCTCTACCTTGCTGTTTCCAAAGCTGTACGATTGCTCCACTATGCAGCAACCTTTAGCAGCTGTGCGGGTGAATGCCCACTGCACCAGGAAAAAGCCTCCGGTAAACACTTCTGAGAGCCAAGTCTATACACAGGACCTGGTGGGGCCGCTGAGGCCCTGCCACAGACCCGAGACCAAGGACAGAAGTCAGGGATAGGCAGACAGAGGTCGAGGGAGACTGGAGGTCCAGGCAGAGGGCTGGACTACTGACTGGACGTGGGAGTATTCCAACTGCAGATACGCCATGGCTAAAGACATTGGAATAACTTAGGCTACAGGAGAAATGGCTTTGAATACACAGAAAGCTCAGTGAAGCCTAGACAGATGAGGGAGTCTGTATTTACCGTAAGTCCAAAGTTACATCTTTACAAGTGGTCTTTTAGGTTTCAGGAGTGTCAAGTGCTGGGCCCTGGGCCCATCCAGAGCCTATAGCAGGATTTTAGGCATGCACGCACATGCATCCAGTGTGAGTTTTAACCCTCTGGGTCTGAGACTTGAACTACAATCAACTACATGGAAGTCCAGCAATGTAACCATTATGGCACCTCCTAGTCCCTCCACTGTAATTCTTCTCTAGTAGACCCGTCAGAGGTCATTTAGACCATGCCGAGTCTTCATCTAAGCCAGATCTTGAACTGGGAGACTCTGTAGCCTCACCTTGCCTGTGGTCCACAAGTAGCACCCATGGGAGCCTGGCTGGAAATGGAGATGCTCAGGTTTTACACAGACCCATTGAACAGAAATTGCATTCAGAGCCTACACCTTTGCTGGCCTGCACCAAGTAAGCTGTTGCTTGTATTCAGCTGATGCTTCTAAAACTGCAATACACATCAAATCCCTTAGGCCTCTTGTTAAAGTTCAAGATCTGGCTCAGATGAAGACTCGGCATAGTCTAAATGACCTCTGAAGGGTCTATGAGAGAAGAATTACAATGGAGGGACTAGGAGGTGGCATAATAGTTACATTGCTGGACTCCCATGTAGTTGATTGTAGTTCAAGTCTCAGGCCCAGAGGGTTAAAACTCACACTGGGTGCATGTGCGTGCATGCCTAAAATCCTGAGAGGAAAATGGAGAAGGGACTGTAGCATGGCCATCTCCCTTGGGGGGTGATTTCTCGCTTTCTGTTTCTCTGGCAAGTCTATGTGCCCTAGCAAAAATCCCTTTTACTAAAAAAAAAAAAAAAAAAAAAACCCACAACAACCAACCCCAACCC